TACGGGCTGTGCCCTCATCAGACAATCAGACAATGTGCCGGAAAAACGCGGCATGTTGTGGTGTATGAAATAGATGGCAAGTCCCCTCCCTGGCAAACTTCCGTTTTACCACCCACCCCCTACCAACATTTCTCTAGGAGATCTACCAACCATCATTCCCATCATCTAAGAGGAAGAGAGTAGAGGGAGTCTGGATAGAAAGCGCTAAAATTACTCGGGCGCTTTTAATTTGATATGCAAATACAGCAAAAAACGAAAGCAAAGGCGGCGCAAAAGGTTGTGATGATGGAAATGTGGAAAAGTGAAAAGCAGATGGGACAGCCATGCCCCCTTTCTTTTCTGGGTGGATCTACTATGAAACACGTTTGTCTATTTGCAGTTCAAAGTCTCAAATGAAGTGCGGTGCGAGGATATCAAACATGGGGTATGGTTGGGGTTAGTGTTGGGTTAAAGGCGGCGGAACAGTCAAGGGGAGGAAGTTTGGGGTCCAAATGGGGTTAGAGGGTTAAAGCGAGGGGTCTGGGAGGTTAAGGGCTGGCTGGGACATGGCTTTTGGTTACCAACTATACAGTGGGAAAAGTGATTTCCGGATGCTTCAGAGAGACTAAATTTGAAAGGATATAAAGTTGAACTCCTAAAAGATATTTTTGCGTATTTTTAAATATAATTTTAGAGACTTTAATTTTCCTTAATCCATTAAGAACAAATCTTTAAACCAATCAAGGAAAACTACACTTTATTTTCGTACAATTTAATGTCACTTTTCTTCGACTTTTCCTCTTAGTATTTCCCCTTTTTATAGACTTTTTATTACAGTGTAAGCATCATAATGGGAACTCCTGTCTACGACAGCGCCTGCCAGCACTTTTTATGATGTGGCTAAGTTTCGAGGATAGTTTCGGATAGCCTGGATCAAAAAGGGAACGCAGGACAGTAACGGTGGCACAAAAATAAGAAAGAAACAGCCGCATCAGGACGAGCAAAAAGGATAACGAGAGATTGGCATGAGATGTCATTGCCATGGCAATTAAAAATGGCGGGCTTTAACTATCACATAATCTGTTGATAGTCGCTTAAGACACTAGAGATTGTCGCAGAGTCTTGGAGGTGGAGGTGGAAGCTAAAAACCATAGCAAGAAATCCCATAAAAGTGGAAAAACGAGCGAGAAAAATTCGTTTTGCTAAGGACTGCGGAATATTTATACAAGAATGAATGGCAAATGAGCATAGACAGGGATGTAGATAAGAATGAGAAACTAAGTGCAAAATAGTCAGAGGTTTAACAAAGAAGAAATAGTTAGTAAAACAAAAATTAAGCGAAAATTAATCAAAAATTAAGAGAAATTTAAAGGAGAATAGTTTAATGGGTTTTCGTTTGGTATTAGTAGAGTTTTTTTTATCAAAAACATAACATTAAATTGTGAAATATATAGAAAATTCAGATTCATGAACCCAATTTGTAAACTCACAATATTCCCCCCTTCTTACCAAAGTAACCCCCCTGGAAAATGTGCAATCTTTGCCCCCCAAATTCATACTTGAATAAATAACTCTCCCCTGTCGCATTTTATTACTTAGCACTGCATCCGTTTGATGTGTTTCCTTTGAACTACCCGCCCCGAAACACCTCCCAAACTGACCAAACACACCCTTAGAATGAGCATTGAATAACCATTCACGCCCAAAAAAAAAATGTAATTTGATACTTTTTTTCTGCTGACGCAGAAAGTGAGTGCCTGGCATATCTAAAACCATGCAGCAAATTAATCGGCACACGTTCGAAGACTAATCGCTTTATGAATGCCACTGATGAGGGGCCAAAAAAACGACACAGCCCTTCAAAATTAACAGCCTCCAAATTAGAGTTGTCATTCTTGTATTAAAAGCAAAAAAAAATAAGAAATTTTAGTTAGTAAAATAGAAATTTGTCCCTGAAACTATAAATATTTTTGAAGCATGTTAAAAAATAGAAAAAAAAGAATATATTTTAAAATAATCTTTAACTTTAACTTTAATATTTTGTATATTAAAAAGGTAAAAATACTAAAAAGAACGTAAAAAAAAGGTTAAAAATAACTTTTAGGTTTAATTTATGAAATTTAAATTTAATCAATTGAAAAAAATATATAAAAAATGTGTAAATTTAACATCTTTAAGTCCCATTTAGAAGCCCTACCATCCTCCTAACAATCCTAAGAAATCCCACAAAGCTAGCCTTTTAAAAGCTAACTTCCCATCACTGGCCTAAACAATTTTAACGTCATCATGCGACGTCATTGCATCCATCCATCCATCGTCGCTCTCAATCGCTGTGCACTCAATCACATGCCGGAAATCAAACGAAGCGGATGTCCGTTGGGTTGCCGATTGCTCGATGGAAGAGATGTTAGTAGAGGGTAGAGGTATTTGGACTCTGGAGGATATGGGCAATGTGTGCTGGGCCCATGCCCATTGCAGTTAACCGCAATCTGAAATCGAAAGTCCGCTGATTAAAACTCCACTGCCGAAATTGTTCAGCGAACGACAAGTTTCAGGAAATTTATGCAAATCAATCAGTAAATTGATTAAAATCTTTAATACCTGATAATGTTAGTCATTCAGGTAGTTAAAGGAATAATATTTAATATTAGAAGGAGAGATTTAATATTAAAAAAAGAAACATAGGTTGTTCAGGGTTGACTGGTGAGACATAAAACTTCTGCAATTCCTTACAAATAGCCTGCCATTGAGTTTTTTTTTCTCAACATTTTATTGCCCGTTTCGCCAGACAAAATTGCTACTAAATCCGGCGCCAGTTTCCACATAAACGCAAAGCTCAAAAAAGGATGAAATTGAAGGGCCAAAAAAGAACCTTTCTTTCTCCGCAAGGTTGGAAAAATGCTCTGTAAGAGGAAACTACATCTTACCATTTACTTGGGCATTGATTGTTACCATGACAGCCTGAAAACCCATTTGGATCAAGGTTCATCATTATGATGGAATCGAATATTTGACACGAACGGCGGTTTATGAGCCGTAACTAAAGATTTTATTTAGAGAATATTTATAGAAAGTTTGATTCAGATTTAGGTTTTATATATTAGGATATTTTCTTTGAATTGCTTAGAATTTTATTTAAAGCAATTGAATTTGATTTTTATACATTTTTTCCCAATGTAAAAGTTTCTTAAAAGTTTTTCTTAAAAACTTCAACTTCAACTTTTTCTTTTAATCTTTCTAACACCTTTCATATCACTTAACCCTTTTCCGCCACTTATCACTTTAAGACACGTTTGGAAATTAAAGGCCTTGCCAATTTTTTCGTGACATCAACTAGGTTTGTATTAGATTCCTTGAGCAGGGTGTGCTGGAAAATCCTTAAGGACTCCCCTTGAAGGGTTGACACTCGTAGCTGGTCCGTCTGACTGTCTGGTGTATAGTTTCCTTCTTTTTCCCAGGATTTTTTTTTATTATTGTTTATACGATTTCGATAACGCAGACGGAAATTGCCAAGACCCTTGGCCACTCTTCTGCTTCTCCACCTTTCCCCACTTGTCTTTCTCCTATTGTATTTCCTGCCAAGGGCGAGCAACAAAAAACGAATTAAAAACCGAAAGACAGACACCCGGGGACAGGGAAATCGAGACAAACAAAATGCGTGAAATGCTTGTAGTCGTGTATGTACATTCATATGTACATACATATGTAGATATATACATACATACATACATATGTATATAGTAGATGCCATAGAGATCTGCACATGGGGTATAGTTTACGGCTTGTGTTGGTCATTTTTAATTTGAATGCGAAAGAAGAAACATCGAATTACATTTTTTTATGGGCCAGCATGGGAAGGGCTTAGCATTTGATTGAAAACGAAAAGACAAGAAAAACAATTTTGTTTCCAACTTAAAGCTATAAAAAGATATGGCAGTTGAAAGTTTACGGGTAACATTTTTTTTTACAAAAATTCTAATAAAAAGCATTACTTGAAATGTAAAAGAAGGGTGTTAAAGATTTAGTCCAGGGGGATTAAAATTCCTCTTACGGCAGAGCATTTACTAACACAAATACAAAAAAGCGTGCACAAATTAGTGACACTTTTGTGTTGGTTTGCAGCTGTGCACTTAGAGAAAGAAAAAACACTTTTGTCTTGCTAACCAATTTATCACTTATTTTAACACTCGTGTCAAGGAAAGAGAAATCGCGCGAGGAAAAGAGAAATCATAAGAAATAAATTCCAGTGCAAGTGTTCGAAGATGATCGAGGAAGAAACAAGAACAAAATATATTACAGTTAGCGACGGAATATGGCGGAGAGAGAAAAACGAAAAAATGTTAGTGGATTAGGTGTTCGAGGATGATCGAGGAAGAAAGAAGATGAATTACAGTTAGCAATGGAATATGGCGGAGAGAGAAAAACGAAAAAATGTTAGTGGATTGGGAGTTCGAGGATGATCGAGGAAGAAAGAAGAACAAAATGCATTACAGTTAGCGACAGAATAAGGCGGAAAGAAAAAATCGAAAAATTGCTGGTGGAATATCGCAGCATTTACAAAAACAAAATTGGTATTGAGGAGCTCTGGTTTAGACGAAGATATTTATGTATAAAATATTATTGATCCTTTTAAGCTTTTTTCTCAAGCTTAATTTACTATAAACAGTATCACTTTAAGACACTGTTATCCCCCTTTTAACACACCATACAAAAACAATTAAATCTCATCTTTAATTAAATCTTAATTCATACCTAATAATACTTAAAGAACATTCACCTTAACCATAACCCCTTCCTTAACTTCAATCCAACTTAATGCGCCATAGTTCGCATGCTTAGCAACACCACATTTTCTGCTAACGCCCATTAGACACGCCCCCGTATTTGTGGGTGGGCCAAAAAGGAAAACAGGAAAATGCCCTGACATAACGCTAATTACGCATTTTGTAACCATTTCTAAACACGGCACACGGAGATACTGGCCAAGAGATAGAGAGATGGATGGCAGACACATGACTCACCGCAGGAAAATCCAGACCACCGAAAGCACCCAGCAACCAGCTCCCAAAAAGGCTGCACTGAAAATTGCCAACCTGGAAAAAAAGAAGTTTTGCAGAGGGAAAAATTATTGATTGATTAAGGCAATGTAACTTAAGGAAATTTTATTTAAAATAGAGTTTTTACTTTTAAGTCTGTAAAATCAAAATAAACTTTCGTATTTCTTATTCTAGTTTTGATTTAAAAGATATTTAATACAGCTAAACAGTAAATATTATTTTGTAGGCTAGTTATAAAACTTAATTTTAGATTTTCAATTTGTAAAATTGTTATTTTTCCTTGTGCACCAGCAGCAGAGTAAAACTCTTTACACAAAACAGACGACAGGCGACAGACAACGATGACGATGAGCATGGAAGTGGGAAGTGGGACTGAGAATGGGTCTGGCTGGAACTGGGACTGAGAATGGGAATGGCGATAGCGATGAGGATGGCGACTTTGTAACATGAAAATTGCCACGGCAACGGCGACAAACGCAACATCACGTGCCCCGAAAAACGTTGGTAGGAGGATGGAGATGGCCACCCAAAAAAAACCCGAAACTGAACTCCACTGCCAACCTGTACCCCGGGCACCTGTCGCCCCGGGCTTAACTGACTTTATAGCCTGCGCAACAAATTTCCAGACTAAGAGTCTGGGAATCGGGTTCACTGGCAGTTTGCAGTTTTCACCAGGGCTGAAGTTGGCCGTTTTTCAGGGCTCTTGATCAGGGCTAAGATCATAATTCAGCGGATATTCTTTATGTTTACTAAGCACTTTTTAAGATTAAATTTAAATATTTAAATATGAACTTTATTAACTTATTAACTCATTCTTTAGCTTCCTTTTTTGCCTCCCTGGTTCAAGTTTTCTGGTTAACGTTCTAGTCCGTCTGAGCTGATGCCACCTTTTGCCATTTTCCAAACGAATGCGAAACCAAATTCCAGTCGAGGCGGCGTGGCACAAAAAACACGCAACGCGTCCTGACACGTTCCCCACTCCCTTCTACCCACTACCTTTCCCTTTACCCTTCTTACCAATCGAAAGTATTTTTAAGATTTAAAAATGTCTCCCAGCTTGCAGAGACATTGAGAACTAAAAGAGAACGCGCCAAGGGGAGGGCCACTTTGTGGCACATTGGTGTTACTTTACCAGTCCGGATTTTTTTTTACTCCATTCTTTAGGAACCCTTTTGCACAAGGAAAAATAAGGTTCTTTCTTAAGAAGTTAGTGCTAGAAAAACCTTTCTAAATTATCATTTTCATAAACAAAACCTTTCGACTTTCTTTACATAAATCACAGGTTTTTCATTACCCTTTTGCAAGCCCATTTCTGCGCCATTTCTCCTAATAAAAATGTTCAAATTTGTATATTTTTTGGTGTTTTAGTTCTGATAGCTTCCTAACCACAAACCCCTATTTTTTTTCTCTGTAGTCACGCTCCAGAGCGGCGCCCGCACAGTCGAATGTAGTGTAATTGAAAAATTCTACCAAAGTCAAGTCCAAAGTGAGAGTGACAGGCCGAAGGCGGATGGGTGGGGGGAGCCATCTCCAAAAGTTACGCTGCAGAAAATTCGCAAATATATATATAGAACGAAAGTAGAGGGAAGTAAGGGGCATGAAACCCAAGTTGCAGCTTTTGGAGGCAAACAATTTCTATTTCATGGCACATTATTTTGTGGCTTTTGTTTCGACTTCGAATGGAAGAAGTTGCCAAAAGCGGAAACGAATACGCATATGAGTAGTTCTTCAGATAGCTAAGTTAAGTTAGAGGCTAAATGCACTTAAAACATATTAACTATGAGTTTAAAAAAACATATCTTTATAGGCCTATAAGTCATATTAACAATATATTAAATAAAGTTTTACTTTGATATTTCCTTTCCTTAAGATCATTAAGAAACTTTCTGTTTTTTAAATCAGCCAACAAAGCCCTAAACTAGCTTAAGCAAGGCCATTTAAGTATATTATTTAATCTCCATTAACTCTTAGCTTAACTAACTAAAATAGCCTTTAAATTTATAGTGCACTTGCTTCTTGAATGCTCCTTGATCTCGGACACAATCTTGTGTAAATACCCACAGAAAGTTGAACAGAAGCTTCACTGTTACCGAAACCTTGGAAATCTTTTGCCATCAATGGGCTTCGTCGGCATTGTCGTTCTTCTCCATTGATTGATTGTGGGTCATGTGTGCATGGTGGTGGGCCAGGACTTTTTCGTGGTTTACTGCATCATTCAGTAAGCTTTAAATTTTGCATGTCACACTACTGTTACGAAGACCAACTCGCAACTCTTCGGGCAACCCCTTGCCCCAGCCCCCAAAGCAATTCATTTCATTAAAGCAACACAATGGCCGCCTTTTGTAAAATGTTGCCGCAAACCACAAACTGCAAATGAGAGGGGGGTAAATCCCAAAGCCAGCAAAGGAGGTAAATGCACTGAGATAAAGTTAATGGATTAACCTTTTTTACTAATTTTGTTTCTAAGAAACAGTTGCTGATAAATCACCTGCCAACTATTATCTTTTCATTTTAAATCTTAATAAAAAAGTTAGATTTTGTATATACTTTTCACTTTTCCATTTGGTTTATAGACGAAACAATAATCTTTAATATATTAAACCCCATTTTCTCTCTCTGCATAATCTCCAACTTCAAGCCTATGAGCTCATCCTGGATCCTTCTTTCTTTCATCGCAGAGCGAAGAGGAGCCTCGAGGCCTTGAAGTGCGCCAATGCTGACGGCGTGATGTGCGTGCGCTCTCTTTATTATGTTTCAAGGGGCTTCCCCGTCAGCTTTTCCCTTGCCCTCTTTCCATCCTCTCCCCCACCCCCCCCTGAGTTTTCCACTCATCATGTGCACTTTTCTGTGAGCTAATATACCCAAGGACCGACTGAAGCCAGCGATGACTGCAATGCGGCCCAACTTTGTCTACGTAAATCCCTTTTGTCGCATTAACTGCTAACTTTTTCTCCCGTTTTTCCAGTTTCCCCCCTCGCCACCCCTTTCCCTTTTTTCTCTCTCATTTTCCCTGTTAGCGACAAACTTTGTTAACAACTTGGAAAAAAAAAAGTCGGAGAACTCAGGTAGGGCTTTCCATCCATCCATGATCCCACTCTTGCCATCCTCACTTCGGAGAGATGAGTTGCGTTGAGATTTCCGCGTTCTCTCAAACATGCATTTTGTCAAATCAAAAATTTTATGGTTTTATCACAATGTTGCCAAGGACGCAAAAGGCCAAGAAAGAAATCCGACTGTCTCGAGTGCAGTTTTTATGGTATTAACTGAATGGCCAGGGAAGGGTATCAGAGTAAAGGATTAAAGTATAACAATGGAAGAGATTAGAAGGGTTTATTAAAGGAAAATATCAATGGATTTTTATCTGAAATGTTTTCTTTGGTTAAAGTTTTCTTTCTTTGACAAATTTTTCATTTTTATATATTTTTTAATATTTTTAATTTATTGTTTCCTTACTTCTAGTTTAGGCAACTTCTTTTTCAACTTTGTAGTGGCTTTTCCCCTAAATTATATATTGACACATCACCAAAAGGAAGGGTATTAAAAAAGTCAGCTTATATCAAATGTGATTACCCCTATTTTACTCCTTCGGTTTATGGTTGCTGCCATGACAACGTTGGCTCAATGCGATGCCTTCTTAAATGGCAACTAATTTGCCAGCGCAATTTGGCTTTTTATAACTAAATTCGCATTTCGGCTTTAGCATCATCCTTGCGATCCTTGGAGCTTCCAGACGAAACGTCTTCGAACCAACTCGACAATGACAGAGCAATTATGCGAGAAACCCGTAAAGGCTACCAAAGTATCTACCAGCTACCAAAAGTTACGACAGACTTCAAATGAGATGGATGCTGAAGTTGGAAGGGGGAGTTCCCTCTCATTTAGCCAGCTTTTCACTGCTTATCTGGGGGCATTTATCAAAAATCGTCGTTACGCCGTTCGTCGTTCGTTGTTGTTAATTGCATGGGGACAATAGTGCGGCAAATGAATTTGTACAAGGGATAATTGTTGGCTCGCAGAGAGTTGGCAATGCGTTTAATTTTGTGCAAATAGAGAGAAAAACATTCACCCATCTCTCCCACTTATTTTAATTTTGAATATCCTCCTGCCTCAACCTACTCCTCCTCCCACCCATTCAGCTGTCTAAACAAATGTCGTGAACTCGTCGTCGTCGTCGTCGTCGTGGAGCTCATATTTCAGAAAAAGGGGCGCATAAATTTATGCGAAATCTATTAGCAAAGAGCAACCCTTTTCAAGCTCACTCTATCCCACTCTGTTAGCCACGGATCCGGCATTTTGGCCACGACTCTGGGTGAAAAGTCCGGGCATCCCAGACAGCGGATGATGTTTTGCCGGCCTTTTTTTGTGCTGTTTTTCGGCCAACATTGGCAGCATGGCAGCGTGGGAGCACAGATGGATTTCATTTCATTCTGTTTCATTTCCATTTGTAAGTGAAACTTAAATTAACTTTTCATATTTCGCATTCTGTATGAATTTAAATGAAAGACAGCAGCGTACATCCTTCTAACATAAAGGATTCCCAGTTTTCCGGCATCCTGATGCCTGTGTGAGATGGGGTTGAAATTTTATTAGCTTAGACACATTGCTGTAAGACATCATTCTGGCCAAAAAGAAGTTTAAAGTTCAAAGGGGAAAGGGTTTTTAAAAATCTATGAATATGCTTTGAAAAGTAACAGAAGGTAATTTTTTGTTTAAAATCTCTTCTTTTCTTCTAGAATATAAAACTAACATTTTTATAATAATTTCCTTTTAATTTTATACATAATTTACTCCTCCTAGCAAATCAATTTAAATAATAATACAAACAAGCAACCAAATTCCTTCTAATTCCCAGCATGTAAATACCCCATTTTGACCCCATTTTTTTTTTGGGTTAACAAATTTATGACATTTTGTTGAGATAACTTGGCTCGCTAACAAAAAGATTCGCAAAATCATATTAGAGCGAAATCATGGCAACATAAATTTCATGATATGTATCACCTTACTCCATAGCACTTCATCTCTTTCTGGCTTTCGGGTAAGAACAGCAAAAAGAAAAGAAAAAAAAAACCCTGAAAAGCCATCTAATTTCGTGCAAAGGTCATGACAGCATATAGGACCCATATATTATGTCTGGTAATTGAAAAAAATCGGCCCTGTGTTTTATTTTGTTTTGGTGCCAAGGTCCCCTCCACTCGTCTTAGCAATTGCCCAAAAGTTGGCAGTGATTTTCCAGTCTGGCCAGCCACCCCCCCCTTTTTTTTGGCCCTCTCGTCGCCAAAAGTCCGAGGCTGTCGCAAGGCTGAGGGGCCAACCAAAACACAACCCATCTAAAGTACACACTTTTACAGAGGGGATTAAGTTAATAGTGAAAATATATGGAAAAATTATTTTTAGAACTAAATAAGTGTAAAAAATACTACTTTTTGTTAGAGTAAAAACTACAAAATATACTACAATATACTAAAATACTATAATATCCTTACAAGTAGT